TTAAGAACTCTTGAGCATCCTTTGAAGCCATACTACTAAAATGAGGAGGGTGAAATTTCTAAACCTGTCCATCCTCTTTAACTCATCGGCAAACATCGTAGGCTTAACCACAAGCTGATTTGCAGTCTGAGAAGTCACTGGGGACAGTGGAACCACTCCAGCCTGAACCATGCTGTCAATAAAATTTACCATCTTAGCCACTTCCTCCTGAAGAATAGGCATAGCAATAAGACCTTTTGGAACCTGATTCGGCGCTAGTACCTCCACCTACTCATCAATCGAGTCTACCTCTAGGTCTGCAGGTGTGTCCGCTGGCACTGCTCTCTGACGTTCGCGAGCTCCGATTAGTGCTCCACCTCTAGGTGCTACCGTGTGACCTATGGATTGAGTTATAGACCTACCCCGGGCCCCGCCTATCTCGACTTTGGTTGGAGGCACTGGCTCTCCACTGTCGCTACCGAACGTGTCCTCACCATCAGTCAGGGAATCGAAAAGAGAATTCAAATGTCGAACAAAAGAAATGCACGATAAGGAATAAAAGGGAAGGAAAATATCCTAATTGCCTCATAACTTCTCGAAGATAATTATAGATATCTCCATACCGATCTGCAAGACTCCACTAGAAATACTCATGACTCGTGATATGTGCAACCTATGATATGATACAAATTAATCACGACCCAAAATCTCACCAAAGATCGTGATGGCACCTAACATGCCGGCTAGGCGAACCAATAGATATAATTACCAAAATTAAATTATCATAGCAAGAACTATAACAATATTCATAAGTATATTCATGTCATAGATAATAAATCCGAAACTAAAGTAGAAGTACGGAAAAACATACAACCCTAGAACTGGTGTCACTGAGTACAAGATTTGAAATGAGTGCTAAATACAAAGATTTGAAGTAAATACAATACTGTCTGAATCAAGTAACAATAATAAAGATAAAGAAGGTGACCTCAAGGGCTTGAAAACGGGTATACATCTCTACCTCAAGTCTCCAATGTCAATTGGTAAGCATCTTTCGGGATTCCGCATAGAAGGAATGACACATACGAGCAGTATGATCCAAGTCTTCAAACCGCATAAAATGAATAGGCACAAAGTAACCTGACATATTGGACGAATATACTCATCGTGCATATAACTCTCAACATCACTGCATTAAAATACTCATCGTGCAGCTATTACTTATCCTTACCACACAGAAACACCCACGCACAAACATCATCACAAGTTGTACGAAAACACCCATCGTGCAAATATTTGTCATCCCCACTGCACGAAAATACCTATATTGCAATATATCTCGTCCTCATCAAGTATATAAATATCAATAACAAGTATGGTAGAACGTATACATATGAGCATGAGAGAAGACTAAATATGATACAGTACGTGAGAAAAAGTATGTATTTGGCATTAAAATGTCAAACAATATTATAAGGTCTCAACATGATCTTTAACAAAAAGGTGAATAATCAAGTAGTCCTAAAATCAATTAAAGCATAAGAGAAAAATACATGAAGCAAGACTAGGCATGAATAGTCTAATTTCCATCCGAGCATGCTATAACATTACCATACGTATATACGCTCGTCACCACGCATATACATTGCCCCCAACACACCAAGCACATAGCACATAAGACTATTTACAATAAATTTCCTCAAGTCGAGGTTAACTAAGATACTCACATCTTCACAGAATAGGCTTAACAATCCAATACCTTATTTCCCTTAGAATTTGCCTTCAACCGACTCAAATCTAGACAAATTATACTTAATAAGTTTAAATAAAGTGATAGAAATTAATTTCAAACAATAAAGTTTTAATCTTTAATCAATTGTAAAACTTCAACAAAAGTCAACTAGGGGTCACATGGTCAAAATCCGAGTTTGGGACTAGATCCTGTTGACCCATAACCCCATAAGTTAAAATATGTGATTAGAATATAAAATTGAGTCGAAATCAGTACTCAAATCCCAAAATATCATCTCTTAAGTTGTATATAAAATATCAAATTTCACTTTAAAATTCCATCTTTTTAGATATAAAAATCCACGGGGAATCACAATATATGATAAAAATGAAGTAGGTATTACTTACCCTTAAGATTTTGGTGAAATCCCTCTTCAAAGTCTCCTCTTCTCGTTTTCCAAAACTTAAAAATGTAAGAAATGGGTGAATCCCAAAATTCTGAACTTAAAATACCCTAGAAGCGAAAATGCTCTTCGCGATCGCGAAACTACTCCTGCGATCCCGAAGCACTGCCAGACTCACCCTTACGCGATTGCAAAAGTGTCCACATGATCGTGAAGAAGAATCTACTCCGATCCAATCCTTCTACGTGAATGCAGACTCATCCACACAATCACGATACCTCATTTGCCCAAAGCTATACGATCAGGAAATTAAGCCACGCGACTGCGAAGGCTAAAATCCTCAGCCCCCTCTAGCTCCTCTATGAGATCGCATCGCCAACTACGCTATCATGAAGAATAAAATAGCCCCTGCCACAAAACCTACAACGCGATCGCGAGACAAACTCCGTGATCGCGAAGCACACCAGACACAACAAAAAAACCAACAATCGCAAAATCTGCTCTTGTCCGAAACTCACGCGGGCCCCCGAGATCCCGTTCAAATATACCAACAAGTCCATAAATATTCACCGGACCAATTCAAGGCCTCAAAATGCAGATGAAAACATTACATCTAAGAATTAATAGCCAAACCACACCTTGAACTCTCTTAAGCCCATAGGCTCTTAAACTTCGACTAAGCGTCTGATTCATACCTAGGCATTCTGGATCTCAATCAAGCTTTACATACAAGTTTTATTTAACCATATAAACTTATCCACAACCCCAGAACACCAATCGGAGTCCGATAACATCAAAGTCAACTATTGGTCAAACTCATGAACTTCAAAATGCTTCAAAATATCAACTTTCGACAAACGGTGCCGAATTCTCCTAGGAACCTCCAAAATCAAAATCGAATACACGTCCAATTCCAAAATCATTATGCGAACTTATTGAAATTTTCAAATCTCGATTCTGAGGTCATGTACTCGAAAGTCAAATCTTAGTCAGCTCTCACAACTTAAGGCTTTCGAAAAAAACTAAGTGTTCCAACTTACTCCCGACCCTCCTTGGAACCCAACCTTACATCCCCACAAGTTATAAAATAACAAAAGAACCTACGAGAAATATTAAATAGGAAAACAAGGTTCTAAAACTCAAAACGACCGATCGGATTATTACACTTCTTCACTTTGTGCCTACTCGAAACAGATTTGGCCTGATTACTAGCATGGATGGGTGAAAGGAGACAGCTAGAAAACTAGGAAGATGAGATTAAGTGGCTGACTATGAGAACAAATAACAGCAGACCTAAAGCAGGAGCACTGGGATTTCTTTTTGCTGCCTTTGTTTACCACATATGGAGTGAAAGAAACTCAAGGAGAACTTGAATAGCTTCCATGTCTAGGATTAGTGGATACGTTTTGTTTTTTTGGGTATGTTTGTTAGAAATAGAAGGGTAGAGGATGAGCAAGGAGAGCTAGCTGAAGGTCCAAAAAAATAGTTGTTGTACATAGTTATACTTGATTGAATATAAAAAATTTCTTTTTATCAAAAATAAAAATAATTCAACTTTATCTCCCTGAAAATCAAGATTATCCTTTCAAGTTTGTCTGCAATAATTTTCTGCACACTTATTCTTTCCAATGACGATAATTAAAGCAACAGAGTCAAACAATTTTCAATGTGGATAATAATATACAATAACATGTTTTGGCACGTGGCAAACTTTACGTTATACTATAAAGAGGTATATAATTATATCAATGTCTACAACAAAAGTTCTGATCATGATTGAAGAATGATATGAACATATACCGAAAATATCTTCTATCATAAAGTATTAAGTGAGATATTTTTCATTACATGTGTACCTCATAAAATAAAAATAATAATAAAATAAAATAAAATCACATATTTCTATGAAACTTGTACATTATATTTTTTCTTGCCTAATTATTAATCAAACCTTATATTTTAATAAAATTAATATTATTTTATAAAATCGTGTACTAAATTACTCGGCATATACCTGCTCAAGAAACTAATAATAAAAAGCACACAAGTATTAATTAACATGATGATCAATATAATGAATTATTATGCTTCGGAGAGAATGAGTTCTTTCTGTTGTGGTTACGTGGGCAAAAATATCACGCTACAAATATGTATACGGTCAAAATCGAGTTTTGCCCTACGTATGATTAATCGAGATTGGAATATGATGGTTCAAGGTTCATCATTGTAATATCGAACCATGGTACGAAGAATATGCTGTCGAGCTCGAACACCCAGAGACCGATCAAGATCGAAATCGGCCAAGATCAAGATCGGCCAGGATCAAGATCGAGCCAAAAAATAAAAAGTCGTTACAGCTGCAATTAGGGGGAGAATGTCGTCGGAAATCACGGCACGTATCATGAAGATGACGATTAATTAGCCCATCATGAGAGTTCTTACTATATTTAGAATTGTATCAAGAGTAGGACTCCCCTACTATATAAAGAGGGTCTGATCATTTATAAAACACACCTCAGACAGTAGAAAAGCAATATAATACTCTTTTCCCAAGGTTCTCAATATTCTGTTACATCGCTTATATTTCCTTTGTTGTTTCATTTGGTTCGAGGTCCCAAGCTACATATCTCATTTGGTTTGATTTTATTTTTTTTTACACTCAATTTCGATATCAGTTTACATATTTTCTCAGTTTATACTATGTAAAATCACGTGTCCTTAAAATCACATATAAATTAAATTTTTATATGCTTTTAGGATAAACAAAATATCGGTATGCACTTCCAAAAACACCACATTCTTATCTTTCTATATATTAAAAGGAGAAGTATAGACAGTTGACTTAGTTTTGTTTTCTTGCATCGTTTTCAACTTCTCAACAGATTATCCACCAAATTGTAGGGAAAAGGCGAAGCGTTAGAAAAATATCCTTTTCAGTGAAAACAAAATATCTTGTTGTACTAGACAAAACAGTATCTTCAGCCAAAGTTTCCTTCTGAAACTAAACCAAAAATTCTTTATGGGTAAAAGCCACAAGAAAACACAGAAGTTTGAGTAATTCCAGTACATAGAGCTTCGTCACTAAGGCATGTGAGATTTCATAACCAATTCCCCCACAATAAGCCCAAATCTTTAAGTTTTTGGAGCCAGAAATTCACTGGAGTGAGTTGCTGTATGAGAGAAGCAGAGATAAGTCAAGGAAGAAAGAAGAATTACTATGAGTTTCTAGGAATAACTATCAATTCAAGTCCTCATCCATATATTGCAGGAAACTCCAAAAGATTTATCATCCAGATATTGCAGACCAAAAGGTACTACTTTTACTTTTTCCTCCTGCAACTCTTTCTTTTCAAATCATGTGTACCAACATTTTCGATGTAGTACTGAAACATATTTATTATATTTGTGAATCTATATATACCATGGCTTGAAATATCTATTAAATGGTTTCAGGGTCATGATTACACCCTAGTACTGAATGAAGCATACAAGGTTTTGATGAGAGAGGATCTTAGAAGAGAGTATGATGTTTCCATTGGCCAAATTAGAGTTGGAAATGGGAAAGTGTAAGGCCCGTAAAATTTTGCAAAGGAATTTAAGGTTTTGTGGTGTCGGAGTAGGCTTACGTGTTTGAGGATAGTAGATATTTTTGCGGCGAGCAAGCTCGCCGTGGCTCGGACTTTTTGGGTTAACAATGCACTGGGAAGTAAAGGAACATTTTTGGCAGAAGAAGTTATTTATACGGCCTACTATGCGGTTGCATAATCACTCTCACTGGCCGCAGAGTGAAGCAGAGGCGGGGCAGCTTGGAGGAAGGTCTGCGGTGCATTATGCGACCACAAACCAGTTCTGCGGGCCGCATAACTACCGCAGACCCAGGCAGGCGATATCAGATTTAGGCACCAAATTGTGCATCCAATATGCGGACCGCATATCCATTCTGCGGTCGCATATGCGACCGCATATCGTGTTCCGGAGCTTTATTTTTGAGTTTTTATAACCCGACCCTACTTCGCTAAATAGACGATATGTACTAGTTTTTGACCAAAAACCTGATATTTTGAGGGTGAGAGAGTACCCTAGAGTGGAAGGGAGTTCTTCATCAATTTGTTCTTCACTTCTTGCTCAAATCATGGAAGATTAACAAGGAAACTCACTAGGTCTTCATCCTAGAGGTAAGATTCTACAATCTAACCCTTCATTTCGGAAGTTAACTAGAAATGGGTAATTAGTAAGATGATTCTTGGGTATGAGAGTTGGTTATTTTGCATGCATATGTTATCAAGGGGTGTAGGAAGATTGTTGAGTTTAAAATGGTAAAGAATGTGTTGTGGGATGATGGAATCCTTCATAAAAGGACATTGAAACCTTAATGCACACCTAGTATTTGATAAAATGCTCAAATGAGCTAGAACTATGATCATCTTCCTAATTTTAGTTCAATTTGTTACATTTCTAAAATAGATCGAAGTTGCTAAGATTTCTGGAATATTTTAGAGTTTAAGGAAGCTCTATTGACGTATGTTGGCTAAACTCTTCTCTTAGAATTGAATCATACGGTATTCATGTAATTTATGTAAGTCCTGAATTGTTCATTATGAAATGGGCCATTCCGAATAAGCTTGTGCTCAAAGATATATGCTCAATATGTATCCCCAAAATATTTTTATCATGTTATGTTATCATTTGAGAATATATTCAAAGTATGGGCTGTGCATTAATAATGTTGCGATTTCTAGTCAAGTTAAAACGAGGGCTATTATGCCAAATTTTGTGAAAAATTTATATGTGCCTAAGACACTTAATTGCTCACATGTGTACTGAAAATATTAATTTGAAATGCCTTATTGTGGATGATGATGATGATATTTAAAAGTGAAAAAGGCGAGCATGAAATCTTAAATATGGCCGACGTGCTAATAATGATTTTATAATTGTTCTGGATTCCTTGGTTTTCTAATGTCTCCCCTTAGCATTTCATACTCAGGTGTTCATGGTGTCGTTGACCCTCGTCTATAAAGCAAAGACTTATTTTCGGCGGCTGTTCCTCTCTGGATTAAACTTGGATGTCTCATACCCAGTACTAGTTTTTGAGTTTGTAATACTATCATCTTTTACCCCTAAAACAAGGTTTTCTGAGGTGACTCTTTCTGATTTCTTTGAAACGCATTGTTAGGCTTTTCAAGCATGTTTATCAAAAGAAGATCATAGATAGATTTGTGCCTTCGTACCTACTGTATATGTCCCATATTCTTTGTTTTGCACTTCTGGAAAATGGTGACTAATTTTGTGGCCCTTTATTTGTTGGGTTCTAAACAAATAGACCAGGAAATTTCTCTTTGGAAATTCTATCTGTATAAACCCTCAGATCTTGTTTAACTTCAATAACTTATTGTGCACATTGCTTCCCCGATTATGTCCTCTTTGATGTGCTATGGTAGAACTCGCTTTGTACAATTAAAAAGCTGGTAACAGATTTTGAAATTATTTCTCGGTTGTTTTAATAAAGAGTGACTCAAAATAAAAATACAAATTGACAAAATGACGTGATGTAAAAGTGAGAAGGAATGGTATTTAACTGAAAATGTCACTTTAGGGGGAAAGAAAGAAAGAATGGGCTCCTTGAATGTAGTATCCAACTTTAATGATCATGACATACATTTTGGATTGAGCGACCGAATCTATCCAACCAATCTATCCTTTCTTCTTGTTATTTCCCTTTCGTCTTGGAAGTTGGCCTCTTTGTGCCAATCATTTGCATCAAATCACAACTAACCTTGGACCAGCAGTGTCCCGAAAGGTTTTCAGCAACCGATCTCTCTCATTTATCTATCCCCACTTACTATCGCCTTATAGTGCCCATGAGGGTTTTTACCAAAAAGACTCTCATTTTCATTCATTATCTTTTGTTTTCGCCTTTTTGTGCGAGTAACTTGACAATTGTCTATGTTGTGTGACAATTGTTGCTTATTGTGTGCTTCTCTTGGCATTCTTAAAGACTAATTGGAAGGTCTTTATTTGAAAGGCTTTTGGATAGGGTTAGAAAGAAAGGGTTGCATGACTACTCAAAATAGATTCAAGAAGATGTGGTTGTAACTTACAACTCTTGGAATCGATTCTTCATAAAAACATGAAAAACTTCTGCCCTAGTTTCAGATACTAGGAAATTTTTATTTTTTATTTGGTTGGACTTTATCCTAGTGTAGAGCTGCCTACATATCATTTAAAGGAATCAAGTCAAACGTAGTTTAAACTAACACGTAAGATTTCATTGTTGTTTTTCTTTTAATTTTTCTTTCTTTCTTTTATCTTTTCTTTTTCTTCTTGTTATTTTTTTAATCAAATTGTCCNCAAAGAAATATAAACATGCTCAAAAGGAATGACGAAATGCATAAAGTATTTGGGTAGCAGAAAAAGGGTCTTCCAGCCTCAAGAATGCCAAACATTCTATCTCGTCTCAGGTTCATCATTAATGTACATGATTGTCTTCTTGGTTTTGTCTGTTGTATAGATCCGTAGTCAATATCTTATTCGTAACAAATGACCTTTGACAATTTGGAACCACCTTTTCTTGGTCTTTGTCTTGATGTGTAAGGGTGCACTTCAGTACCAGCTAATCCCTTTTGAATTCCCTGGAATGTACCTTCATTTAGAGATTTGGGTCATCTTCCTTGATATGATCAGATATTGGATGGCCGTGGCAAAAAGCCTTTCATCGATTAGTCCAACCAGACTTTAAAACCTTCAAATATCCTTAAGCCGATATTCATGATAGGTTTGAGATAAACATCTTTAACTATGTGACACATGCTTATCATCTAAAAATTTCAACCTCTTATTTATCCTCCAAGTGTTTTTCCTCGATTCGATTCAAGATTAGACCGGCATTCTAAAATCTATCTGAAAACTCTGCATGCATGTCATGTAACTAAAATTGTCGTGAAAGGAACTATATATTCAAGAAGAAATAAACACAATGGATTAAAATGACACAAAGCAAAAAGTTGCATTTCATTGATTAAAGGATAGAGAGGTTTGATGAGAGGACAAACAAACAACATCTGGATTACAACCTCAAAATAATCCAGATAATAGAAATTATGACAAAATAAGTTACCAAGACTCCTTCCCGGCAAATAGGGGAGTGGCTTTCCAATTATCAAACTCGACATCTTAGCTACGAATTTGCACATCAGTATCAAACAGGACCTTCAACAATTTTGATTGCCTTGCATTCAATGGACAGGTTCTTGAGCGTTTCACCAAACCATCTCCATATTGTAAATCAACCGAAAAATGTGTGCATTATCATGATGTTTAGGGTCACATTATCTTGGACCACGATCATCGCTCCTTGAATCATCATTTCTTTTTCTTTTTTCATAGCCCAACAATCCTCATTGCTATGCCGCTGGACATTAGAATGATACATGCACCGTACAATATGGTTAAAACCTTTTGCATATGGATCAGAAACATAACCTTGAAGCGGCTCAATCATGCCATAAAGTTTCAACTTTTCAAATAAACTTGTGTAGGATTATACGATTGGCGTGAAATCGTCCCTCTGCTTATGTTCCCTTTCATACCCCTATTTTGGATGAGGGTTGTAGGGTGATTGAAAGTTCTACTGTCGCATACGAAGGTCTGTTTAAGCTGGGGTCTGCATCTATTAGCGATTGGATGGTTTGGCATAAGACAAAGCATTGAATGTTGCATAATGTGGAGCAACTAAGTATCGAGGATCCAGGGATGGATAGTAGTGCTGTGGGGAACCATAGGAAACCTGATGAGACTGCCCATATTGTTGAGATGCTCCCCTTTGGCCCCTTTTCGACCCTGATTCCATCATGGCCTCCTCATCTTTCTTCTTTCGGCTTGCAAGGCATGCTGACCCATTCTGGATTGCTTGGGTGGTGGCTTTGAGATCTTCTTGACTCATAATTTGGCTAGTCTTGAGGCTATTTTTGACCATTTTCCCAATCTTGATTGCTTCTGCAAAAGGTCTACCTATTGCATACATCATGTTTTGAGTGTAATCAAGCTCTTGAGCCTCCAGAAAAATAGTGATCAACTCGTGGTTATCTACGGATGGCTTAACTATAGCCATTTGCTCTCTCCATTTAATGGCATACTTCCTAAAGCTTTCAATCGGATTTTTCTTCATATTGGACAGGGAATTGCGATCTCGCGCAATATCAATGTTGTACTGAAATTGTTTGGCGAATGCTTGGGCCATGTTTTCCCAAACATGCCAGTGAGATATATCTTGGTCAATGAACCATTCAGAGGCTACTCCCACCAGACTCTCCCCAAAATAAGCCATCAACAACTCTTCTTTTTCTCATGCGCCCCTCAATTGGTTGTAATACCTTTTCAAGTGTGCAATAGGGGCGTCGTGTCCATCATATTTCTCAAATTTTTGTTTCTTGAACCCTAGGGGTAAATGGATGTGAGGAAACATGCACAGATCACTGAATGAGACACTTTGTGACCACCTAGTCCTTGTATGTTCTGCTCAAGACATTTCATTTTCTTGGCCATCTCATCTGTGATCACCTAGTGTCTCGTCTTGACAACCCTTTCATTTACTACAGGTGACTTGTAGTGTGGAATCTGATTGTGTGTAGCTAAGACCTTGAAATCCATATCTGGAGAGTAGTATTGGACATCATAAGAATGAGATGGTGGCTCGATGTTTGGCCTCATCACAAGATTTGGTGGGATTGTATACACTGGCTCGCCAGACACGACGAGATGGGTGTTCCTAACCGGTGCGGCTAGAGGTCGCACATTAGAGTTACCAGGGGCGGAAAGGAATCTATAGTCTGGCACATACCCTGGTGGTAGAATGTGATCACTCATTGTCAGGAGCGGTGGTTGAGTAGCCAGGGGTACGGTGGAAGTTCCCTCTGTGGGACCCTGAGGCGGACGCTGACCAGAGACCTAAGCCTGATATATATGAGACAATTGATATTTCAATCTTCTTACTTTCTCTAACTCTTGCTCAACTGACTGACCCCAGGGGTCGTCACTGACTAACTCAATTTCATCATTATTAGCCATCGGTACCTTTCCTTTAGATTTGGTGAAGTAATGATGTGTTGCCAGTTTCACCACAAACCAACCACCTTAAGTTTACTATATAAGAGACAACAAACGTGTTAGGATTAAGCATTTTAAAGATATGAATAACACGTAATATGCCATGCTTATAACATTGCTACCACCTCTAACATGCTTTTGAAAGGCTTCATGTTTCATTCCGGCTTATAAGATTGCTTCTTATTGACACTCTTATTTTCTTCTCTCTCTCTCTCTCTCTCTCTCTCTCTCTCTCTCTCTCTCTCTCTGTATCTCTCTTTTTGCTTTTCTTTTCACTCACCTTATTTTGATCCCTCATTTTAGAGTCGCTGAAAAATATTTCGATCGAACCTTTTGCAGGTTGCCTACGTATCAAGTCGTCGCATGAATCAGATCATTACATAGTTTAGGAAGATGAGGAATAAAGTAAATAAACTAACTCTTTTTTTTTCTTCTTTTTTACCCATATACAAATCAGACCACGAAAGCTCCTAACAAGAAAAATATTTTTGGATTTGTTTTTTGAGAATTGTTGAAAGAAAGACTTCTAAAGAAGAAGGATTTTTTTTTTTGGATTTTTCGAAAAAAGTGCTTCTAAAGAAGAAAGAAAATATTTTGGGGATTTTGAATTTTTGTCGTTGAATTTCCAAAATACAACAATAATATCCTTGGGTTCTGAGTTTTGTTTTTAACTTCTGAAGTAGAACGAAAATATTTTGCAATTCAATTTTTTTTTTGAAATTTCTGGATTGACGTCTAAAAGATAGATTTAAAAGAAAATATTTTTGAATTTTTAAAAATTGGCGGCCGGACCTGATAAAGGTTTCCTACGTTTCTCACATCCGGTAAGTATCGGACCCTCGTAGTTCGGTGCTACCGACTATGTTTTCTCTTTTTGATTTTTATGAAAACTAATCTTTAACGCCATACACACTAGACCACATCGTTTTCTTTAGAATAATGGATATGTGTACAAAAATCAGGAGAATGCTCTTTATCTCTCTTTGTTCATTCAACTAATCTACCCTAAAGTCGGTCAATATTCAAGCCTTTTAAATAATGTAACAGGTAGCACATAACATGAACATAATGGTCTCAACAAGGTACCTGTCCTAAAATAGAATCCGACCTTTGTGCTAAGCCCTGCTAAGTCAAATGCACGTGATGCAAATAAAGTGAACCTACTAGATATATTCGGCATGAGGTTTGTTCTTCT